GTATTCCTGGAAGAGAGAGAACAGACATTTGTTAATGTATGGTTTGGTAACCCTGAGGCTGGATTACTATTACATGTTGCTATTTATGGAATGCCTCTTGAAAACAATGACAATTGGTCCAGACTGAAACAACATGCTTGGTGCTTCTAGGAGGTGTCACAACACACCTTTCGTAAAGCAGTTATGCAAACTTGAGTAATTTTCTGATTCCAATTCAGGGTACTCAGTCTGATATACAAAACTGGGTAGGTCTAAAATGTTAATTTTGATAATTATGAATATTTGTATGCCAACTAAAACACCAAATGAAAATTTCATAGTATATGCTTTTTAAAAAATCTTTATAAATCTACATAGGCTTTTAGAAGTTTGTCTGACAAATATCTATTCACTTAATTGATGTCTTATACATTCCTAAATTATTGCAAAAAAGAAAGGGAACTTGATATTAATATGATTGGGAATTGGGAAAGCTACTATGATGTAACTGATGTCATGTCTGAACTGGTCTAAAGTAATGATTTAAATCTCAATTTATCAAACAAGCTCATTGCATGGTCGTAGAATGCCATCCTTCAGCGTAATATATTTTACAGGTTTATTTCCATTGTAATATTATAATAGTACTCCTGAGAAAAAGTGGGATGATAGTCATAAGAAAGTTGTACCTCATATCACATTTATTTGTTCAACATGTATTATCCCTTTATTCCAAATTATGTACATAATCTGTTTAGGTTGCAGCATGAAAATGCAACCATTGAATTAACTGCTAATGTACAATAGGAACACAATATTATTTAGTTGAATCAACTTTAACCAGGTTGTATCTGAAATTTCTTCTACAGAGTCATGTCTGATGAGTTGACTAACTCCAGAGCAGTTCTCCAGCGTCAGGCCAGAGATGCACACAGTGCAATTCAGGATCTGCTAAATGAACGTGATCAGTTTCGCCAAGAAATGATTGCTGCACAAAAGTATGAATATATGTGTTTTTTTAATCTCTGAAAGACATTGCTTTAAATCCCAGTTTTGCCATTTTATGTAGCAGCTCTGGATTATCGATATTTAGAAATAATAGAGTCTTATACCTATATGTTTATTGTGTGCATGTCTTAATTATTTCCTTTATTCAAAGATTTACTTCTAATTCCATAGACTGAATTAAAATTCTATATAATCAAATTTCTATGAGTAAAATACAGGCAAAATACTTATATCAGAATGATCATACGTATGTAAAGGTGTTCTCGTTTGACAAGTCTTATATATACACACTAAATAATCCATGACCCTTTAAGTCATTGTTTCAATTGAGTCATTGTTCCAGACGTGTCATCATTTTCAGTTGTGTCATTGTTTCAGCTGTTGGGTCATTATTTTTGGGAGCAAGAATGATTTCCAACTTCCTGCTGTCTTTCCCACCTACTTTGTTTTTGGGAAACTTGCAGAGAGAAAGTCAGCAGGGAGCATTGCAAAGTGCTCAGGCAAGTCTCCCCCACCTGTGCACCACCACCCCCACAGTCCCCTTGTGCTCATGCCATGCCAGCAACCTGCACACCTCTATGCCCCCTCACATAGACACCTTGATCTGCTGTGCCTCTTATGCACCCTCCCAATCATTGCCACTCTTCTTACCTACCTGCCTCGCTGGTTTTGCTTGTGGGAAGCTGACAGGGAACGTTGGAAATGACAGTCATGTGACTGATTGGTAGAACAGGACAGTGGTGTGGCAGTGCAGCAGCATTGAAACAGTCACAACTTTTCCAGATTTCAATACCACTGGAATAATGGGTTCCAAATTTTGTAAATTAGGCCATTTGAGTTACCTTAATTCAAAAACTGTTGTGGTATGATACATCGTTTTGCCCAATTAAAGGTACAAATAGAAAAACAAGCACAAAGAGTTTTAGTATTATAGAGAGACAATGACAGGTGTATACAGAAATAATTGAAAGCAGTGTCATTGCCCTAAAATGTACTTAGTGGCACAGACTATACGGTATTACAGCAAAACCCACTCTCTGTGACAACAGAGATCTACCATCCCTAGTTATAAGGTCCTTGTATAGCTTAACTTTTTGTTCTATAGTCTGTTTATCTTACATTTTGTTCTCAGAATTATCCACAAGAAAGAAACTTCATTCTAACAAAATTTGAAAATGGATAATAAATCTGGGTGAAATTTCTGTTCCAGATGCCTGATGTGAGCTGCAGGGCTACCTATGCAAGGGGAAATCTTTTCTCCTCCAATGATTTACCTCTTTTGAAAATAACACACAGTTGGTCTGTAGTTTTCTGCCCTTCCTGTTGTGGTCTCCCAATATGCAAAGGCCATAATTCAACTTTATACTAATTTTTCCATCCAAAATCTTAACCAGATCTACATAGTTCGTTTCTTTGCATCACTAGCAAAACTATAGATAGCAATTTTTGCTCTTGGATAATTTAATAACCTTTTTTAATCCCTCCTTCTCTTTGAGTAGTCATCCTGTTTCTGTAGTCCACCAAATTTTCTCATGTACATTTGTAACTGAAACTGATTTATTTCCATTGCAGATTATTAGAGGAGCTCCTGGTTTCTCTACAGTGGGGAAGGCAGCAGACATACTACCCTAGTGCACATCCTCATAGTACGGTAGAATTAGCTGCTGTAAATCATAAGCTTGCTAAAGCAGTAACTTCACATCTACTTGGAAACTCTAGTATTGCTAACAATCCAAAAAATGGCTCTTCATCCACAGAACTCTGCACTACCCCTGCTGAGAAAATGGCTGAGATGGTAAAAACTATTTTATATAATAGCATGCTATTCTGTTGTGCATGAAAAATTTTCAAGTTTACTTTCTAGAAACATGAAACAGTACCTTTTTATTGCATAACAACAAACGCCTCCGTATTCTATGTAGTATTAGTATTCTACTGTACTACATGGCAGTATAGTTTTCTACAATTCATTTGCAAGACAAGATACAAACTCAGAGATGGTTGGAGCAAGGTGGCAGTTGATTCCTAGAGCTACACCTCTGTCATGGCTCACTTCTAAAGTAGATTGCCAATAGAAAGACCTGAGGAAGTTTATCCTTGAACGTAATCTAAACTATGGTTATAGTTTAAAGTGCAGTAGCTGAGGGTAATAGAAAACCTAAACTGAGAATTGTTTGGCTTATACTGGACAGACAAGTTTGTATTCCTGCTTGTTGTCTAGATACCAGTGGTGAAAGGAATTTGTGCCTTTTATGTCAGATGCAATCATTTCCAAATTGATTGTATCTGAATTATAATAATCTTTGCATCTCCTGCATTATTGTTCAGTTAATACAGACCATCCTTGAAAAGTTCAGTGGGTGTAAATTGTGGCAGCTAGGTGATACTGATATGTGAAACTAAGATAATACATTGTGTTCTGGTCACAATTCAAGTTGCTGGTTTTAATGTTTAAAATAATAAACAATTTAAGAAGCAAACACTTTATTCTGTGGAGAATAATCTTATAGAGATGCCACTCTATCTCTAAAAAGTAATTGTAAATACAAAAGAGGCCTTTCTCTTACATGGGAATTTAACTTTCTAACTTTAAAAAGTGAGATACCACTTATTTCAGATTTTTAAAAATATTTTAAATATTTTTTACCAAGAAACCACAGTGATTCACTGCTGTTACTGTTTTCCAGGTATTAAGAATGCTGGATTCTGGCAAATGTACAGAAGTATCAGAACTTTCTTTTTCTGAGCCTTCAACAGCATCTTTTCTTTCCCCAAAGAAGAATATTGGACGGTTTCATCCCTACACTAGATATGAGAACATAACTTTCAACTGTTGTGATCGCTGCAAGGGAGAATTGCTTGTTCTTTAAAAAAAAGTTATTTGGTAGCAATGGTTTCAGATTCGGATAAAGCATACGATCTTTGTGCACTTTTATTTCTGTACTTTTATCTAATGAGGATTGGATTTTGTGCTGGAATTATGTCTTTCATAACGCTTTCAGGACCTCAATGTTCTGCTCTCAAATTCTTCTTTGTGGCAGATTGAATTTGTAACACAATGTCAATTGTTCAATGGCAACCAAGAATGTATTAGAAAAATGTTCGATACTATATACAAAGAACTATAGAATGTGCGTACCAATGATTCTTCTTTAAGGGAACACTTGAGAATATTAGAAATACCCCATGAACCTCAAATACTTTATTCCTTGAAAAGATGCAGCTTATTTCTATATGTGAACTATTTTATTTTAGAATTAGGGTGGGTGTTTAAGTATTTTCTACAGTTGATTTCCAGTATTAGAGAACTGTTACATGGGCAGGTTAAAATGCATATTTTAATGAAAACTCAAGATCTGTAAAGTACAGTTTATACCTAAAGATTTTAAGTGATGGAGTTGATTTGGTGAGATTAAATCTAATGCACATTTATGTCAGAGTAGCAACAGCATTTATATGCAAACTACTGGAGATGTGCCTCTGAGTTCACCTTTTCTACAGAAGGTTTTTTTTTTTTTAACAAACTTGGAATGACTATCCCTGAGGGATTATGTGAAAAGGTTTTAATGGTGCTATTAAATGTGGTTGGACTACTCTTCTTGTATCTCTTTTCTCTAATTTGTAAATAGACAAAATATACTATCATCACGTTAAAAAAAACACTTCCTTTGTAAATCTTTATTTCTTGACAGTGGGGGTGGGGTTGGTGGTATAATTTACAATTTCTCAATAACACACCAAATACCCTGGATTATTTACAATGGGACTTCCAGATAATGCTGTGACATAATAATATTCAACCATTTTTTTGGTTTGATACGCTGTGATTGGGGGTATAGTTTCTAACCAAATGCTGGATGTGAAAATGATAGGTCGGAAGATAAACTAATTCTTAAAAAAATACACCATACTTACAGGAGGAGTATTTATTTTATGTAAGCTTTATAGAACTGAGAAGGCAATCCCAATCTATTCACAAATAGATAATTATTCCAAGTTTAAGATGTGGAAAAATTACTAAGAGAAAATTAAGCCATTATTGAAGGACTTCAAAACATTCCAGAAGAGAAACCACTTCCAACAGGCAATCTCAAGCTATGCAAGATATTCTGGAACACATTAAGCATCCAGGGCTTCTAAATTTCAGCAGTATTGATCTGTAAAGCGAAGGGGCTTTGGTTCAGAAATTGAATGCAGAATATTTTCTATTTGCTTTGCTCTTCTGGCTTCTTGCCTAAACTGTTTTGATCGTTCTCTAGCAACTAGTTGCTCTTCTCGCCTCTCACGTCTCTTCCTCCTTAGCCATCTAGAGAGAAATGAAATCATGTTTAAAACTGAAAACTACATTTCATTTTCACTGTTTATATATTATAAACAGATAACCTATCCCTAAAAAGATATATTCTGAGATAGTATAGATAATTGTCTTATTAGACAATTACCTGTGATTAGGACTATAGTTCATAATATTGAGATCAATAAGTATTTTGAATCTTTTGTTGATAGTGAACTTATTCATTAACATAATACATTATCATGCTCTAGCTTACAGAGAAATATAAGCACAAGTGTTTTGATAAAAGATTAAATGCTGAATCTGAAACTATTTTCTTCAAGCTATAACCAGATTTCATTTCTATTGTTATGGGCCATGATCTTATTTACAGTTGAATCAAACTGCTCACTTCATCACTACCTTCAGTTTAAAGCAGATAATATGAAAATAATGTATTTGATTTAGTATTGTAAGACAAAAAGAAAAAAATGACTAATCTACAATTCTACAATATCATAACATATAATAGTACACTGTGTTAAAAACATGGTTTCTAAACTGATCCAAGTTTTCAAACTGCACTATTATTTTGATGTAATGTGCATATATTCTTCTCTTGCTTGATCAAAAATGTGGTGAGAAAAATACACATTCACAGGAGAAAACGAGAGAAGACAACAGGGACCAAAATTCATTTGCTTCCTGGAATAAAAACATTCAGTTTTTATTAAGATAATATTACCCTGGTTCTTAAAATGAAAAACAAAAATACTTACTGTTTATAAGCCTTGTCATTTTCAGCTGTTCTTGGAAGGAAGAACATGCCGCCTTCTTGCTCCTTCAGGGTTTGCATCTGTTTTTCTTTAATCTGTTCCTGCTGCTTTCTTTTAAGCCACAACTTGAAAGCTTCATCTGGATTTCTATTCTCCTATTTAAAAATTAAAAATATATGAATATTTAAAATTCAAAAAATGTATACTGATTCTTAAGAGTCATGAAACTGATAGCTGTATGTCTTAAGCTGAAGATATGAGATACTCTATTAAAATAAAAAGAGAAGGTATTCATGATCTGGTTATTATTTGTAGATGTATACCTGCCTTCCAGAATAATATCAGAAAAGTGGAAGAGATTACATCATAAATACAACCTGAATACAATTCACACTAACAATCCCATCTTAATCATTATTCCATATTTAGAAAGAGTGATACACTGAATACAAAACCAGTGATCTGCATGTGTTCCAAGGCATCTTAATTCTTGTTATTAGTATTTTTATTATTTTTATGAATAATGGATGCCAGTTTGGTCTCGTGGTTAAGAGACCAGGCTAGAAAGTGGGAAACTGAGTTCTAGTCCCACCTTAGGGCCATGAATGGTGGTTAGGTGACCTTGGGCCTGTCACTTTCTCAGCCCAACTCACCTCAAAGGGTTGTTGAAGGGAACTTAGGTAGGAGGAAGGTATGTTGCACATGTTTGTGGCCTTGAATTATTTCTAAAAATAATAAAGGTAGAATACAAATAAATAACTGAAGGTGAAGTACATACATAACATTCTCTGCTATTTTCCTCACAACAACAACTCTGAAGTGGGCTTTGCTGAGAGAGAGAGAATGACTGGCCCAGGGTCACCCAGCTAGTTTTCATGACTAAAGTGGGACTAAAACTCAACATCCATTTTCTAGCCTGATGCCTTAACCACTAGACCAAACTGGCTCTGGTTTTAAGTCTTGGGTTGTACAACTTGTGTTTTAGTTCACTGCCTTGCTGCATGACTCATTTCTCTTAAGCTTCTGTTCAGAGATACCCTCACAATTTCTTTTAGAATTTGCTGGTACATCTCAGAATTCATAGTTCTATCAATTGTCCTGGTCCAAAGGCAGCAAAGCAGCCCCAGTCGTGATACTGTCATCACCATGTTTCACAGATTGGATAAATAACATGGTCTTTCTCAACTCTGGACAGGCAGCAATGGATATTTTTGGAGAGTAGTGGCTTTCTCCTTGCAAATCTGCCATGTAAGCATTGTTCACTGTTCTCCTGATGATGGTCTCACGAACAGTGACATTTGTTAATGTAAGTGAGGCCTTTAATTTTTTAGCTATTACTTCAGGTTCTTTGAGACCTGGACTATTAACACTCCTTGTTCTTGGTGTGATGATTCGTCAGCTATTCCTGGGGATAGTAACAATAGTGTTGAATTGACTCCATCTGTACACAATCTGCCTGGAAGTGGACCGTTGGGAGTCCAAACTCTTTGGAAATATGGTAGTTTGTAACTTTTTCCAGCTTGGTGAGCATCAACAACTGTTTTTGGGAAATCCTAAGAAATCACCTTTGTTCAAGCCATGATATATTTCCACATATCTATGTTGGGAAGATCAGACTTTGATAGTGAATGCTCACCATTCTGTTATTTAATAAGACAGGACCTCCCACATTTATACCTGATTATCATCTCATTGTTTGAAATACCTGGCTCTAATTTCCCTTCAAGTGAATCCTAAAGGTTTGTATTGTGCAGCCACACAAATACATATCTAGCTTTTGATATTTTTTTTCAAGGAATCAATAAACTTATGCTTTTGAGTCATTCATTTAATTGGATTCTGTTCATCTAGTTTCAGGACTTGTGTGGAAAACATATCTCATTTTAGGTCTAATTTGTTTATTATTACCTTTATTGTCAGAGTACAACATGAGTACAATGAGATTGGCTGAAACCAAACCCAAACCCAGAGAGACAGTGAAATCCAATTGAGTCCAATCCCTTATCTGCTTACACTCAACCATCAGAATCTTGTCTTGTCTAAGCTATAACCTTCTAATTTATTAGATACATCTTGAGAGATTGTAGGGCAGGCTATAACTACCATGAACCTTTCTTCCTCGATCCAGCTGGGGACTGCACAGTCTCTTAATCTGGGCCTCTCTCTGATGAGGCTTACTGCTTCCTTCTTAGGATAGCTCTTTGTTGCCATAACTCTTACCCACTAATTGTCCATGTCCACGTGACATATTTATGCAGAAATATTGAAAATTCAGAATGGCTCATAAACTTTTAAATACTTTACATGATCCAATTTTATTTTCAAAATATTACCCACCATAAACCATTTTATTAATTTACAAAATTAACATTCCATTCTTTTTATAACAAAGTAGCACTCTAGACATTTTCAGATGTAAATAAGGAATATGCATCTAGAAATCAAAATTTTGCAATTGTTGTTTAGGATATATTTGAGATTGGGGAGATATCCACACAAATGACACATTGCAACAACAAAAAATTAAGTACTGTTTAATACCATGCCTATTTGGCTTCTAAATAGCTAATCATTATATTATTTATAAGTAAGTGATCCTAGATTTGTCCCTGACATACAAATAGCTGCATCTGGAAATAAAAGGCTGAATTCTATCTATCAAGAAAACTTGCTTTAACTTTTAAAACTGAACCAATCCACAGAAGAATAATTGAAACTTCATCTTACTCTGCTGTTTAAGTTCTCCATTTCTTTTGCACGCTGAACTCTTTTCTCCTGTAGCATTTGGTCTTTTTTCTTTTGTAGCCAAGCCTGGAAGACTCGGTCATTTTCTCTCTTTTTTTCATCTTCCAGCATCTTTTTTTGGTTTTCTTCCTTGCATTAAAACATTAACAAATAATGACAATTTTAGAAAAAAAACATTCAAAACACAAAGAATTATGAACTTCCAGAATGAAAATTGTAAAAGAAGTTAGTTAAGTAGTTTTCCATCACAGAGCTTCCTATTTTGCTTTTGATACAGAGTAGACAAAATGGATCTGATTTTCAGCTGTTCTGCCCCAAGATATCCCCATCTCAAGGTCCTCTGAAAGCTTGGGAGACACTGAAAATAAAGGAAAACTGGCCCAAAGATTGTAAGCAGGAGCAGGAACTGCCCAAAATCATGTGATCTCACATTCTGAGATTCTCTACTGGATCAGAAGACAAAGAAATTGAAATTAGAGGTAATCAAAAATTTTGCTTTTATCCAAAGATACTATAATAATGGGAAACACCGTAGTATTTCAAAATTAGTAAGATTCTCAATTGTAGTGAAGCTTCATGTTACTTGATGATTCATTACAAATGGCTACCTTCCTCCCTCGAACCATTTCTGCTTTTAGAACTGTAACATAGTCCATATTCAATATGTGCTCATACAATACCTTGAATCACAAACCAAACATTAAACATTGTGGTTTTATGAATTGAGTTTATGTTGTTAATTTATGGTTTGGTATATTGTGCAAACCCAGAAAATTGAGGTATATTAAGTAAACTACCATTGCATGACAAGAACAAAGCTAACAAGGGAAACTGACCTCTGGACACAGGAAATTATATTAGTTTTAAAAGATGAAATAGAACATATACTAAGTTTAAGATATGGACCAGGATTTATTTTAAAGTTTATTCTTAAGTCACTCCTGTTAGAAGTTTTTAAAAAGGAGTTTTCAAACACAAATGACTGCATAAAAGAAGATAACAGCTAAACAGTCCCCCTATGTAAAACCCGTACTCTTAACATTATTTGCCAGAGGAACAAATGTAAAGGGTATTCTTTGCTTCCATATCGTAATTGTAGATTTGTAAAATTAATCACATCATTAATACTCTTACCTCTCTTCTTATTTTCTCTCTTCTTTGCTCTATTTGTTTTCTCAGGTCTTTTTGCCTGGGTGATAAGCAGAATGTAGAACTTCTTACACCAAGGCACACTTTTGCTGACTGGACCCTGCGAGGGCTTCTTCCTCGTTCTATATTTCTTGTAATATTGATGGCAGAGCTTGGTCGAATAGGTGGTGGTTGAGGGAAAAAAAAATATCGTTCTTTGGAAGGAGAACAAGATGTTATAGGTGTTTGCAAGAAGGACTCGTCTTTTGCACCGATAGCATTAGCATACGAACTTTTAGAAGAAACATGTTGAGTTTCAATGTCACTGAAAGAAATACTCAGAGGAGGAAATAAGCCTTGACTTTCAATGTCACGGATACTCAAGAGTTCAAACTTCCCATCTCTTTCTACTAAGATCTTGCCATCCTTGTGCTCATCATCCATTCCACCATTAATGGACAGAGCTATATCTTCTTGTCCTGTTTCATTAGAAATGCGCAACTGAGACAGCCTAGCTGCAATGTTTTGTTCCCTGTAAGGATCATTTTTATCTGCTTCTGTATTTGTCAGAGATGTTACTTCTAGTTCTACTATATTATCATTGAATTTTAGTTTTCTTTCTTTTGTTTCATCTAAAGGCTCCTGACCCAACAGAAGTTTGTTAGCTTCTTCAATTTTTTCTAAGATATAACGCTTTATATCTTCATCATCTTCCTCCTTGTCTTCTAGCCTTGATTCCTGATCGGAGCTTTCACTATCTGTGTCAGATGCTGGTTCCAATGCCTTAGGATCAAGTTCAAATATAGAATGTATTTCATTTTGTGATGCATCGTTTAGAGCTTCCTCAGGCTCAGGAGGTTCTTGTGAAGAATTTCGTTCCTCATCCTTCAATATTTCTTCAGGCTCAAGAGAATCTTGTGAAGGATTTTTTCTATCTTCTAAGTCTTTGTCAGTGTTAGCTTCAAAATCCTCTTCATTCTCATCATGATTCTATGAAAAAAATATAGTATCTGTTTATACAAAATGTAGGAGGCAATATACACAGTCATGGTTCATGTAGCACAATTGGTTTGACCATGATTTATTGGATGACAATTGCTTCTTAAACTATGCTAAGCTGGGAATACATAATTTTCTGATCTGAGGACTGCTCTAAGGTTTTGCAGTCTATGCATCAAATTCCTAAATTTATTTCATTTATATTTAATTGAAATCAAATATAGTTAACAAACTTTTCCAGTTATTCATTTAATAATTCCCCCTTTATCACATTAAACATTACGTAATTTAGTAACAATTTTTGGTGGACTCACAAAAGCTTTGGAGGGACTTCACAAAACCTTGGGGCTTCAGATTGTGTACCACTGAACTAAATTGTAATAGTATACAAATTGCAGTGATTAGACTCTTAAAACACAGTAACCCAAAAGTAAGCAAACACCCTATTAATTAACATGATGGTGAATCAAGCCACAGAATCGCTGACTGCCATTTAGCATTTAATCATAAGCCATTTGAATTTTATCTGGTGTTCAGCAACTCTTCTAATCCATCTATATTACATATCTTTGTTCTATATATATTGGTATAAAATTATATTCTCTTAATACCTGTATATCATCAGAAATTTCTTTTTCTTCTTCATTAATTAGCCACTCAAGATCTTTCTCAAAATCATCCTCATAGTCACCACCTTCTGTGGTATCTCCTGTGTCTGTAGATTCACTGGTTTCTTTTTTGTCACTCATTGTGGATGTTTCTTAAAATAAAACTATAAAAGTGGAAAACATAAAATTACAAATAGCATATACCAATTTATAATGTAACTCAATAAATAATGGCAATAAAATGTACCTCAGCAAAGTACCCGTCCTAATTAACTCAAAACACTAACATGTTATTCCACAAGTTTATGTTAAGGCAACAGAAAATTAAAAACAATAGAAATAGAATAGAATCAATTAAATTAAAACAAGTTTTACAAGTACGTTTATAGAAGTCCATGGTGAGAGAATTGTTTAGCAATATAATATAGCAGGGTATTGAAGTATTTGCCAGTTCCACCAAGGAAAAGTACTATTTATTTGAAATGAAAACAACCCTGAGTGCTATACATTCCCACCATAGAATAGGCAGATATTATATAGAAACAGATTAAAATCTTGTGAAATACTCAATTTTCTCCCATGTCAACTTTGAGAACTAATTCCTACTGAAAGCAATCTAGCTCAAATTTGTTTTTGCTTCTAATAAATGTAGGTCACACATACGTGTCTGTGTGAATAAACATTTGCTTGGAAGTCATACTTCAGCTGAAGAGGAAAGAAAGTCAAGAAACCCTGCTTATATCCTACAAAAAGATTTACATTTATCAGACAAACAATGCTCTTAATCAATATTTCCATTCTAAACTTCAAGACATCAAGGGTATCTACGCTTTCCAGTACACTTGTGTACAGTTACTTGACCCTTTTATATAGGAAGCTTTTGCTCATTCTTATGTCCCACATCTTACATTGCAAAGTAATTATTTTGAGAAAATCTGTATGTCTGGTGGACCTCCTTGGACAGTGTTAAAGTTGCATATCTACTCAGAAATTGAAAAGCAATTCCAAAGTAAGTATAGGTAGTCCTCGACTTATGACTGCAATTGAGCCCAAAATTTCTGTTGTTAAGCAAGACAGTTGTTAAATGAGTTTTGCCCCATTTTATGAACTTTTTGCCATAGTTGTTAAGTGAATCAAGTTCACTTACATTAGTAACATGGTTGTTAAGTGAATCTGGCTTTTCCATTGACTTTGTCAAATTGTAGCAAAAGGTGATCAGATGACCCCAGGACACTCATCATAAATATGAGACAGTTGTCAAGCATCTGAATTTTGATCATGTGAGCATGGGGATGCTACAATGGTCTAAGTGTGAAAAATAGTCATAAGTCACTTTTTCAGGACTGTTGTAACTTCAAACTGTCAGTATAAATCGAGGACTACCTGTATATGCAGGATTGTAATCTTCAAAAAGTATAGGTTTATTTTTATTAGATTTTACATAACTCTTTAAGATAGTATAATGCAATGAGATATCCATCATTCTGATCAATTAAAAGAAAGGAATCATAACATTGGAAAATGGAGCTAATAGATCAAATATATTAAAATCCTACTTTTCTGTTTCTCTAAATAAAATTTTAGAAAAGGCATTACGCTCACATCGGCCATTTTAGAGTAGTTCTCATTTAGCAACCACAATTAGAACCAGCAACTAGGTTGTTAAGTAAAACCACAACCATGCTTATGATCTTACTTCAGCTTTCTTTTGCTTTACAGACCTGCAAAGGTCATAAATCTAAGCATTGGTCATAAAGTTACTCTTTCATCATGGTCATAACTACAATCAGCTGCTAAACAAGGCAGTTGCTAAACTAGGCAATCACTAAATAAGGACCACCTGTACACAAATTACATAGGCATCAAGTAAGTTCTAATCTTGTTAACTATATGGACAAATACTCGATTCTCCTTTAGTTTTACTTTACAGATTTTCCAAGAACATTCTAGTAACTTCTTCTTCTCCACACTACCCACTTTTTCTTCTACTTTCCTCACTTTATACACAAGTATTTTGATCCATCTTAAAAATCAAAGAGTCTTCTGTTCCTTAAATACTAATAAAGATTTTATCATATTAATTTCCACTTAGTCAAATGCTTTGAGTACACTCTTTAGAAATGCATCTTATACATGCACACACGTTAAGGAAAGATGATATCAACTAATCACTAATATAGACAACTTAATTAACAATTACAATATGTTCTTGCATGTAGTAGCCACATATAAATCTGACTTTTGCATTAATATGATAGAACTGCAACCTGTCTTTTATTAAGGCAAATGGTAGGAGCGGATAATTGTTCTGTCAGGAACTTTTTCCTTAGTTCTAGGTTGAATCTCTCCTTGATAAGTTTCCATCTGTCACTTTTTGTCCTGCCTTCAGATGCTTTGAAGAAGAGGTTGCCCTTTTCCCACTCGTATGATTTGCAAAGTTCGTTGAGGCAAACGATCATAAAAGCTTTCTTTATAGATCGAACTACTTCTGGATTCCAACCACATAGCCCAAAACCGAGCGAAACGTGAGTACAGGGGATACCTTGCAGATTAAGGCAGGCAGATGCCGCTTAGGCTCGCTAAGCGTCTGAGGGGGAGGCAACTAAGCAGTAAGCCAAGTCTTTAAACCCGTCGCCATGGCAATTGCCACCTCCGTTTTGGTCCTCGCTGAAATAAGGGCCGACTCTGACCCGAGATGACGCTATAGCTGTCCGAACTACCGAAACAGCAACACACACACATACACCGCGCTTCTCTCGGATGCCTGCTTGCTTTCCTGTCCGCCCGCCTGCCTGCCTGCCTGCCCGCCCTTTAAGACTAAGCGCAGAATTGCCGCCCTCCGAACAAAAAAGTCTATTGAGACAAGTTAAGTAACTAAACAAATCCCATTCTCTTTTCTGGTCAGGGAACACTACGCCGACTTCAATCGAATCAGTAACTTTCCAGCCTTCGCTTCCCAACGAAGCAAGGAAGCTTCGTCGGGCTATTCTTCCCAGATAAGAACCTGCCGGGGTACCGCGCGTCGCCCGTCATAACCTGAGGCCCTTTCACTCTCTAAAGCGCCGGCTCTCTAAAACCGGCCGCATTTTCCCTCTCATCTCCACCTGTGGACCGCGCTGAGCAGCGACCATACCCCCCCCCCACCGCCAGGGCGTCGTCATGGTAACTGCTGCACCCACCGGCGTCCTGCCATGTCTCCCGAGTTTCCCCCACCACTCACCAAGCAGAGAAGGACGGCGGCTGTAAAGGATCAAGCGGAGCACTTTTGCCGCGCGCCACGCTTCCTGTCTCCATAGAAACCGGGGGGGTTGGGAAGTGGGGGGCAGGGCCATCTCACGATAGAACTGAACCCTCGTGCCGCTGGAGGAAAATAGTTAAAGTGGCGCGTAGGCGGGAAATGTGTCTGGGAAGGTGGCGAGTGTCTGTCAAATGTGTTATTATTGGGCATACCTAGTTTCAATTTGCACATATGCGGAGTAACAAACTAATGGAGAGTGGTACAGAATAGGTTGAGAAAATAACATTTTATTTAGTCTAAAGAAAAGAAGAATTAGGGGTGACATGATAGCGGTATTCCAACATTTGAGAAGCTGCCACAAAGAAAGAGGGGGTCAGATTATTCTTCAAAGCCCCAGAGGGAAGGACAAGAAACAATGGTTGGAAACTAATCAGAGAGAGAAGGAATCTGGAATTAAGGAGAAACTTCCTAATAGTGAGGACAATTAACCAGTGGAACAGCTTGCCTCCAGAAATTGTGGGTGCTCCCATCACTGGTGCGTTTTAAGAAGAGTTCAGACCAGAGGTGTCAAACTCAAAAGCCTGCGGGCTGGATCCAGCCTCTGGGGCGCTTAGATCTGGCCCGCAGGGCTGCCTTGGAAACAGTGGGGGACTGGCTTGTTGTGCCCTGCCAGCGAAAACGCAGCCCTCCTGAGCTGTTTTCGCAGGCGGCCAGAGGATTGCAGGCGGCCCTTTTCACTGGCAGAGCACTTGGGCATCCACAGGCACTCTGGACACAAGTAATGTTGAGCTGGCCACGCCCACCCTGCCTCCCCACTCCCAGGCTAAACACAACCCTGATGCGGCCCTCAATGAAATTGAATTTGACACCTCTGGTCTAGACAGTCATTTGTCTGAAATGGTATAGGTCCGTGATGGTGAACTTATGGCAAACTTGCTGGAAGTGGCACACAGAGCCATCTCTCCAGGCATGCCAGTCGTCACCCGTTGCTCTTCTGGGTTCTGGCGTGCATATGCACGCCGTCCAACTGGTCTTCGTGTGCATGGAAGCTCCGGAAACCAGATGAACAGTATATGCACGCTGGGGAGCTACTCTTCCGGTTTCCAGCACTCCCCCGCACACACGCTCCCATTTCGGCAGTGGGTGTTGAAAAGGTTTGCCAACACTGGTATAGGTTCTCCTGCTTGAGCAGAGGACTGGACTAGAAGACCTCCAAGGTCCCTTCCAGCTCATTCATTCTAGTCTATTTTCCTGAATCGAGTGCACATTGCTCTCGAGTGCGAGTGTCGGACTGTGTATTAATATACACCATACATCTTTTAGTTGGTGGATTACAGGTAAGGGTAGCATATACCTGCTTGCAAGGTTTTGCTAGATTAGAGGTCCTGGTTGGCATATAATGGTATGGACATGTTTGGTTCTACTTGTGCCATACAGGCCACAATATTCCAAAACCGATTGTTACTATCTTTATATCTAGTGGGGATGGCAGCATTTGGTAGATTTGTAACTGAGACTGTAACTTGGTCCAACTTCCTGTCTTACTAAAACATTTTATTTATTTAGATTTGTCAATCGCTTACAAGATAACATATATAGCTATGAATACATGAAATGGGTACATATTAGAAAAAGAAAAGAAAAAAATAGGACAGGGACAGTAGGCACGTTGGTGCGCTTATGCACGCCCCCTACAGACCTCTTAGGAAAGAGGTGAGGTCAATAGTAGACGGCTACCTGATGACAACCACAGTATCAGGAAAATTGCAATTTCAACTAGGAGGGGAGGGAAGGGAGGGAGAGAGGGAGGGAGGGAGGGAGGGAGGAAGGAAGGAAGGAAGGAAGGAAGGAAAATTTAGAGCTAGTCTAAATTTCACTAATGCTTAAACTGCTGATCTCCTGTTCCTAAACTGATTTGAAATAAAGCCAACTTGGTAAATCCCTTTCGGGATGTTAACCCTTTCCTCACTGTGGTCAATCAAGGTCTCATTGTCAAAACTCTGCTTGCCACAGCTCCTAATGAGTAGATTCCTTACTTCTTTATTAAGGATTGAAGGGAGGCATTTCTGCCAGCATGCAGATTGAAATGGCTATATTTGTCTACTTGTACAATGAAATGAGGCACATGCTGCTTGTGAGCATAAGGCAAAAAAAAAAAAAATCCCACCACCTTTTGATGCATTGCAGAAAAAGATGAATGACAATTGCCCTTTTGGTGGACTGGGAAAGGTAAAGAATGCTGCTGGGCATTCCAGATTTTGGAAATGTTCAGTGGCCTGATGGTTTAAATCTTACGAGGAGGAAAGAGAGATGTAAATAAAATTGTTCTGATCTTCTGGAGTGGAACTGATTAATATATGCCAGGAAGTAAAATGCTAAAATACATATCAGAAAGTACAGTATATATTAATATAATTTTGGTTATAATTGCATATGAAGGCTGGTCGGTAGTACAATAATGTATGATGAGAAAGAATCAGTTACAAATTTTGGAAAACACTGCCCAATTCTAAATGTGCATAAGAGGATGTAGATGATTTTTAAATAATATATATATTAGAATTATTTTTGCAATAAATGATCAAAAACAAAATTTAACATAAAATATCTTTATTTGTTTAAAATAGTTTTACAATTTGATTAAAATATTGTTTCCTATCAAGATATTATTTAGCTTTCCTGCTATTTTTCCTATGAGAAGGGAATCTCTCTTTAAAACACTGTGCCCTAATGTGATTATATTAATGCAAAAAACATATATCCTCAAAAAGAATGGACTGTATTAGTATAACCTAACTCTGTGTGTGTTTGTGCATTCACAGATAAGTGCAGTTCTCAAACAAGGAAAGTGTCTTAATTCATCCACTAACAATATCCTTTAAATAAATGAGGTTTCATAGGTATTGTATCAACCTCCACAGCTATCAAGAGAAGAAACACGGAGGGCTGAAGTACATAGAATTTTAGTTATATTTTCAATTATAATTATGTATGTTGGTTATATGAATACGGTAGTTGAAGGGAAGATTGAGCTTTGTAAATCAAGATGCTCTGGATGCCAACAAAATTTACTACACCAAGATATCATTTAAAGTTTGTTGGATGTTTTCATAAGATTAACTTCCAAAGTAGAATTTGTCACAAAAAATACAGTGCAATACTGAATATTGAATATTATGGCTTTAACCATAATTAGCATTTTTCTGAATTTTCAGTCATTTGCCAGTTTTTATACTCATACTTTGGGAACCATAATATTCCAAGTATTACAATAAAATCTAATAAGATAAAAATAACACTTGATGAGAAAATATTATAAGCTGGGCAGAAAAAATGATAAAGACTCCACTGATTTGAGCTCAACTTCTGACTCCATAGACAAGTCCACGAACTTTTTGGCAATAATGTAGAAATACAGTATCTTCCTGCTGCCTTTTGGATATTTTCAGCTTTCCACTCTAGGCTACACTTGGGTACTTTTCAGTATCTCCCATCCAATACTGGGCCAGCTTTTTCAAGATCAGTCTAGGTCAATTAGTTGCCGCCACCTGAACAGTCCACTCTAAACAGGTTTATAAATATGGGCCTCATACATATTAATTTTGGGGGATAGGAAAATTCTTCCTCACTGAAAATCATTCACAACTACATATAAATACAGGTAGTCCTTGCTTAATGATGTTAATTGGGACCAGAATTTCCCTGGCTAAGCAAGGCAGCCATTAAGTGCAAAATTATATGACCACATCACTTGGCAACAGTAACCCCAATGTTCCCTGTTGCTGTAATTAAGTGAGGATTGTGGATCACTAAGCAACGATTTTCTCGTCATTTCCTACCAGCTTCCAATAAGCAAAGTCCACAGGGAAGCCAGCAGGAAATTGCAAGTCCCAGGCAGCTCACAAGCAAGCCAGCAGGGAGATAAGTGGATGCTGCGTGAACATGGTGGGACCAGAGGTGGCTGCTAGGCAGGGTGGAAGAGTGGTGGGGATGGGAGTGACTGCTATCCAATAGAGGAGAGTACTCAGGCTCCTCCAGGAAAAAAAAAGCTGCAGGAGGGTGAGCAATTTCTATAAGTATCTTCCCTGCTCATTAACTTTGCTTGTGGGAAGGTGTCAAGGAAAGCTTCAAATATTGATCACATGAAAGTGAGATGCTGCAAGTATTGTAAGTGCAAGCCAGTTGCCAAGCAGCGAGACCATAATCACATGACCATGAGGTGCTGGGGAAGCCAGAACTTCAAGGGCCTGTCATAAGCACCACTACCTCAGGGCCATTGTGTTGTGGCCTGTCAGGCCCTGACCCCTCCAGCAGCCAAATCAGAGGAGATGGGAATCAGGGTCAGCATCAAGGCAATCTGAGAGCTCCAAGTGGGAAGAGGGAATGGAGTTGGCAGAGAGAGACAGAGACAGAGACAGAGGCAGAGCCTGGGCTGCCCATCAGCCTTCCGATAGACAGCCAATAGCCCCCAGGTCTGGAGGTGACTAATGAGGAACAGGAGAAACAGCTCGGTCTAATGCCTGATGCATGGATGAGCAGAAGGCAGAAAAGCAGAGAGCAGTGGAAATCCATGGGCCGATCCTTGGGATGGAAGAGCCACCACTGTTAATGAAGCCCCACCCTAACTCTGGGGATAAAAGGCAGGGGACGATGATGAATACATGTGGTAGACAACTAGTCATCTTCTAGCCTGTCGCAGACTTATTAGCTTGTGTTGAAAGAGAAACTTTTTGCCGGGACTGCTGGTGCTCCTAATAAAGGAATCTTTGAGTTAACTTCAGGGTTTTTTTTTTTCATGTTTGGAGAGCTGGGTCAGAACACACTGTAACTTCAAACAGTTGCTGAATAATTTCCTATGGTAGCTATTCACCAACAACCGATGAACAAGATGTAACTTTTCACACGTAACATTTTCATCATATGGCCAGGGCTGCTATTTTTAGCAACTACCCCAGCATCCTGTAGAAAATAGCTGCTGTTTATGGATTTATTTGATTTTATGACAATATAGACAATGTAACTGGACAGGAAGGGAATAAAAAACAAGTAACTCAACTTTTTTTTCTCCCTGCAACCCAAAAAGTATACATGAACTCTTCCTTCTCTAAATTTAAAGGATAAATAGAACTCCCTGTGTTCTTCTGCACTTTTTTTATTTATTATGAAATATCTATAGTCTACTTGGGTAACCCCAGAAGGCTCCAGAAACCACCCAGAGGATTTTAATAAATCCAAATTATGGATTATTGGAAAACACCAAAACAATCGAAGTAATGATGTCCTATCTAGTATTGTTGTATCAATTTGTTCCACAATTCAAAAATACAATAATCACTGGCAAAAACAGCAATCAAGACAATTTCTATTACTTGGACAGATAATGTAGAATGATACAGCTGCCATTTCTTTTACTCAGATATTGTGAAAGTCTACTAATAACAGCATAAATACAAAAGTTTAAGTCTTTCTTTGGAGAAGCTGAAAAGCCTAATATGACCAATAGAAATTTTCCAAATGACAACCTATTTTTGAATCCCAGGAGGTTTCTGCTTTTGTTAATCACTGCCTGTAATATCAATGAATTAGGATATACAGTTGACACTTCATGAAATCAGCAAATCAGGGATAGCAACAAAAGAGAACTAAAATCTTTAAATTTACCGAAATCACTCTACAGAGTGAAAAATATTTTGATTGCATATACAGAAAGGTCTGTTATACAGAATGTGCAATTACCAAACACGAGCAGTATCCTGCCATGACCAATTGATTTCAAAGGATACTGCTAACTGCAGTTCTATCACAGTGCCTCACAGTTTTAGGCTTTTGAAAGTCAACATATAAAGAACACTGAAAGCATAGCTAGGCTATGCTTTTTAAAAAACCATCACTTTCCATTTACAGTTTTATGGTCTGGATAAAGAAAAAAAACAGAAAAAAATTCTTCCTGTGTAGACTTTGTCCACAAAAGGCACGTTGACATTATGTTGTTAAATACAACATTCTTATTTATATAAGATGAATGTATTTTACTAATGGATGCTACTAATATAGTACAAATAGAGTAAAATACAATACAGATAGTGGTTTTACAGTAACAATAGTTGCATAAATATAAACCATCATATTTAAAAATAGGTTTGCCCCACCATATATCAAATGAGTTCATACTTAAGTTATGAGTTCATAAAGTTTATAAAGTTCATACTCTAGTTCATATTTTAAGCATCATCTGCAACAGCATCATTTCTTCTCCTTTCCTTTCTCCAGAAATTCTTGATAATACTGTATGTACCACTTATCAGGAACAATACTGCTATGACAGCAAAATAGCCAGCATAGATCATGAACTGCAAAAAAACAAAGATGATTTAGTAAATGGAGAAGTTAATGTTCACTGACTTCTCTCACAGCAGGTACAATCATGAGACAAGTTAAAAATAACTTAATTTGCTGTGGGTTTTTTTAAAAAACAACTGGAGGAGGGCACCTTTTAGACCTTTTGTCTCAAGAATCATAATTATTAGATTTATTATAGCTGCTCAATTACAGAAGACTCTAGGTGGCTTACAATATCCCAAAACCATTAAAAATATAAGAACAGAGTAACTGATAACAGATAATCAGAGTTAGAAGGGTCCTTGTAGGTCACTAGTCTAACCCCCACCCAAACAGGAGGCCCTACACCATTTCTGACAAATGGCAGTCCAATCTCTTCTTGAAAGTCTCAAGAGATGGCACTCCCACAACTTCCAAGGGCAAGCTGTTCCATTGGTTGATTGTTCTCACTGTCAGAAAGTTTTTCCTTGTTTCCAGGTTAAATCTCTCCTTGTTCAGTTTCCATCCATTATTCCTTGTCTGGCCTACAGGTGCTTTAGAAAATAGCTTCACCCCTTCCTCACTGTGGCAGCCCCTCAAATATTGGAAGACCGCTATCATGTGTCCCCTGGTCCTTCTCTTTACTAGACTAGCCAAGCCCAGTTCCTGTAACCGTTCTTCATATGTTTTAGCCTCCAGTCCCTTAATCATCCTGGTTGCTCTTCTCTGTACTTTTTCTAAAATCTCAATATCTTTTTATAATGTGGTGACCAATACTGGATGCAGTACTCTAGGTGTGGTCTTACTAAGGTTTTATAGAGTGGAATTAGTACCCCTTGATCTTGATTGTATCCCTCTGTTAATGCAATTTAGGATTGCATTAGCTTTTTTGGCTGCTGCTGCACACTGCTGGTGCATGTTTAGCTGGTTGTCCACTAAGATTCTAAGATCCCTCTCGCAGTTACTGCTATTGAACCTGGTTTCACCCAGTCTATATGTGTACTTTTGGTTTTTCTTGCCTAAGTGTAGGACTTTACTTTTCTCTACATTGAATTTCATTTTGTTAGATATGGCTGATTGTTCTAGACTGTCAAGATCCATCTGGATCTTAAGCCTATCTTCTTGGGTGTTAGCTATTCCTGCCAGCATAGTATCATCTGCAGATTTGGTAAGTTCCCCTTCTATTCCCCCATCAAAGGTAGCAGCAGCAGAGACGCTTGCTCGGCTCTTCTCACACCCACCCAGCTGCTCGGAATTAAACCAAAACGCAGCGCAGGGCACTCCCAGGTACCTCAAAATGTTTTTTTTCCTGTTGTTATGGGGACAGGGAAAAAGCAGGAGCGACTCAAAGCTGTTGTTGGAGACAGCGCTGATACGCGGGGGGGGGGGGGGGGGGGAAGAGAGATTAATTCACCCTCGAAAAGACGTCCTAGCCGTTTTTTCAGGGCTCAAACAAAAAAATAAGGCCCAGCCTTATTTTGTGAAAAACACGGTATTATGTCCACTGTATTTTGCTGATCTACTAATTTAGTCACTATGTTTAAGAATGAAATAAAATTGATTTGGCATGATCTGTTTTTAACAAACCCATGCTGACTGCTAGTTACTACTTTACTTGTTCCTAGATGTTGGCAGATCTGTTTTTTTTTATCTTTTCCAGTACCTTCCCGGGTATTGATGTTAGGCTAATTGATCTATAGTTTCTTGGGTCTGTTTTTTTTCCTTTTTTGAAGATGAGAACCACATCAGCTTTTTTGCGGTCCTCTGGTAGTTCCCAGAGGGGGGAAAATATTACTACCACAATAGGAGTTTTACTAACCCCAAGTCTGGAAACACAGCCAGGTCATAAGTGTTTCCAATATTCTAAGGGAGGGAGAACCTTACATATGTCTTCAGGAATGTTATTCCAGAGGATAGGGGATCTGACAGAAAAGGCACACTTCCTCACTCCCACAAGATAGCAACATTTAATCTGGAGTGCACCCATTCTAGGTGGACAGAAATTATTGGAGATACTTAATCCTGTAGATAATCAGACTCTATGTTATGAAGGATTATATAAGTGATGACCAATATTTTAAATTGTACCTGGAAGCTAAATGGCTGCTCATGTAGCAGCAGTAACAACTGGGAACATATTAAAGCCTGTTATTGCTGATACCAATACATCTTAGATCAGCTTCTGATTATCTTCAAGGGTAGTCCATATGGAGCTATGTGGGTCATGAGATGATTAGGGCATACATACCTGTTCCTTCCCGTGTAGACATGAGTTACACGGGTACAGAATTTGTGATGACAGAAAGCAAATTAGATTGTATTCTGTTTACCTACTCTATAATTTGTTAATGTATTTCCAGGAATGTTAAAAAGGAAGCCAAAGCCAAGAGGCAATTCAATTTTAAACTAAACACAAATTATAATTGGTATTATTGCATCTGTTGAACATCCTAGCGGTTCAATATGTCTAAAAATAGAAAATCTGATCTTTATTAAGAATATTAAAAAATATCCTAAAATAGAGGGGGTGATGTACTTTTTACCCTCCAAAAACAACCTATAAGGCCTCTCACATTTTGAAGATACTCAAAGGTAGCCTTTCTAAATGGTGTTATGTTGATATTAGAGAATATGGAGCATACGAGAACTGAAATCTAACGTCTCTGCAAGGTAACAAGTTATGAAAAGCTGTCCACTCTCTTCCCACCCAATCAAAATTAATATATCTTACCTGTGTAATTATGTCAAGGCCAAGACCTTTTGCATCAACAACTATCAATGTGAGTACTGTCTGCAATGCCAGTGCAATAAAAGTATTAACACCAAATACAAGGGCATAGCGCTCTACACTTAAATTTGTAGCAATCTGGAACCTTCAGAAAAAGAAAACAAAGATCAACTTAAACAACATATTTCATTTATCATCTGCAGATGATCATCAAAATGTAACCATATTGTAGATAGATAGATAGATAGATAGATAGATAGATAGATAGATAGATAGATTCTTAAGTTTTCGCGGGTATTTATATGTATGGTATTCAGCTTTGTTCGGGTATTTTCCCACATCATTATAGTTGTGCTTTTAAAGTTGTAGCAACGTTTCGGCAGAATCTCATCTGCCATCATCAGGCTTCTGTATTGTGTTCGTCTGTGAGTCAGATTTTCACAGACATTTCTGTTTTAAATTTGGGGCTAGCCTACTGCTGTGCCAGAATTGTTTTTTCTTCATCCTGATTGATTGGGAGTCTTGGTCTGTGTTTATTGGTCTTGGAGTCTGCTGTGTTCTGCTTGATTGGTGTTTCTTCTGTCTTCTGTCTGTTTTGTAGCTTTTTTTGTCTTGATTGGCTGGCAGCATTGTGTTTCCTGTATTGGAGGCTTTTAGTGAGGCTTGGCTCCGAGTAAATGGACGGCTATCATTTATTAGGAAGCTAAGTTTCATCTGGGTGCCTGGTTGGGGTGTGTTTGAGCTGGAAGTATCAGAGGGGATATGTTTGCCTGGCTTGTGGTGTGGAGATTTTTTTGTTTGAGAGTGCAGGCTTCCAGATAATTGACAGTCTGGTGGAGTCATCTCTTCTAGTCATGCTTTCAGGTCTTTTTTCAATCTCTATGGCTTCTCTGATAATTCTGTGGCTGGGGTTTTCTATAGTGGCTAGGATTTTGGTGCCATTGAAGTCGATGCTATGACCTGTTTCATGTCCTGCTACAACTTTAAAAGCACAACTATAGTGTAGTGGGAAAATACCCGAACAAAGCTGAATGCCATACATACATACATACCTACATATATTTATAATTATTGAGTTCCATTCATTTCACACACAGACCTTTGTGAACCTTAAAGAAAACATATGAGGTAGGAGAATGCTGTTTTCTTTCCTCTTTTGCCTTATTTCTGTAAAAAAAACAACTTTCTACCCAAAAGTTCTTAAGGACATCAATCCCCAAATTGAGAAAAAGGAAAAAGGTAAGAGGGACTAAGGCAAAGTAACCTACAGGCAAAAGAGTTTTCAAATTGTCATGTGTTTTCGTTTTATTTTTAAAGTAGGCCTATCTGCAAGCATAGAATCTGTGAATAATGAGAATCAACTATAAAAACTATATTTAATTTTACGAACTAATTTTCAGTTTTAGCCTTCAGATATGCAGCACTCCCCATATTTATCTTGACATTTAAAGGGGTTCCTCATCTGCTTCCATAAAAGTTTAGTGTACCAGTCCTATATCCGCTTAGGTTAGAGGTTCCAGAAATGTGGTTCTCCACAAGCAGCGCATTTACAACAAATGTATAAGATACATTACATTCCCAATTTCCAGCCCCATTTTAACTAAACAAATTCACTGCTTTTTGTTACTTTGTAATTCACTTGGTGGTGAAACCACTGTGCAAACCTATTTTAGCTGTTTTATAGCTTCGTTGTGACAGAACTGAAGCTTTCAGACAAACAGTGAATCTACTCCAAAAGCTATATAGCAACATTCCTCAATGTGGTATATTCCATATGTACTGGGATAGCATTCTCATTAGATTATTTAGAATTTTGGGGATTTGCAGTCTCATATATGTATGATATCTGAGCAATGGCAAGATTAAAAATGTATAAAATGAGGAAATATGCAAGCAAGTACTTACGTTGCAATTGTAATGAGTAGCATATAGACAATTCGAAATGCCATATAGGAAGCATAGCACACCCAAATGTTATGAATAGTGTCCATGATATACACAGCTGCAGCAATGAAAAGGGAGAACATAGCTAAGACTATTTCACCCCAAGTAAGAAAAGATATTTTTATGTGTCCCACAGCAAATACAGCCACAGCACCTATAAATGGAAAATCCAAACAAGTTAGAGTGCAAGAATAATTATGTCCAGTATACTGTATATTTTAAATACTTTTTCAAAGGAATATTCCAGGGATCAAAATCAGAAAAAAGAAGTCAGTAATAGCTTTGCTAAGTATTTGCTAGTTAATTTTTGCATGAGCAGAAAGAAGAAACTAGGATTTGTTGAGTCTGCAATTATAGTCATACATTGTGCTTGGATCCAATTTTACAATTTTTGTGGTGGTCATTAAATGAATGCATCAGTTGTTAAACAAGCCTACTGTTCATTACTGGAAATAAACACTGGGTTGCGGCAAAACCACTGTAAATCATGAATACATGACCATGAAGTGCTGCAAACGGCCATTTGCTGAGTACTCAAAATACTATCACAGGATTGGGGGGGGGGGGTAACATCAGAATTTCAAAACCAGGTTGTAAGTAACTTTTGGGGGTGGCTGTCATTACTCTTAATGTCAAGGATTATCTATATGTAATTTCAGTGTGGAGTTGAAATGCAACTTCTGTTATATACTTGTTTCCTTTAGCAAATTATTGGTCGCTTATAACAAACCAGAATTCAGAAGAGTTTATGATGATGGGCATCGGAAGTAAGAATAATACAGGTGGAGTTGGATTATGTAGGATACTTCCTAATCTAGCTGGTGAAATCATTACTCAAAATATTGCACAGTAAAGATTGTTTAGCCATAACTGTACTGTTTTAGTTGCCATTACACTGAAAATGTATTCACATGAATATGACCAAACTGCTTTGAGTGTATGTGTATACGTATCATCTCCATATAATAGTTCAAAACTATTTTGACTAAATTGCTAAAAACAACATCACATGAATTCACTTAACAGCAACATAGTAGAGTGCTCTTAAGACAAAATGCTCTTTATACAAATTAGTAAATATTAGTTTTGACAATTCCAAAATGCAACAATATGTTTCATTGATCAGAAGAAAGCTAAGAAACAGCTTACCCAACAATGTGGAAACAGCTTCCACAGCACCATTATAGATCTCAGAGGTCTGAGAAGGCAGCACAATTTCCCACATGCCTTGAGTATAATTGATGACCTGGAAATAGCCACATGTTGACAGGGCCCACCATACAGACCAGCAAACCAGAGGCCAGGAAGAGTAACACTGTAAGAAGTCCTGCCAGAGTTCTTTGATTACCTTCATAATGTTCACCTTTTGCTCCTATATGGAATAAATAAATAATTCAACTAAAATATATGAGAATTGTCTTTTATGTCTATCATAGTACAACTAGAACAGTACTGATCCAGGTAAACTCTGAGAATATTGTTCCTATGGTTCAGAAGAAATCATAACAAATACCACAGAGAGTTTTCATTTCTCCTTAGGTATGTGGCAAGTATGAATACTTTTCATTTGTGAATGCTTGTCCACAGAGCAAATCACTCTGACCATTTTTCTGCTTGCGGAAATATGCTCTTAACACTTCTTTTATGCTTATTTCCATTACTAAATGAAATATTAGGAAGTAACTTTTAGAGCTTTGTATTCCAGTCAATGTGGGAATCAATAATCCTGCACAGGGTATGTTGTAAAAGGGGCAGATCCTATATGGTTCCCTCACCCTATGTGTCTTTCTACTGCCTGTTTATTAAACTATAAGTACAGTAAAAAAAATGCAATCATTTGATATTACACTGAAGAATATTTCAAGCAATTGTTCTGACGTTGGTATTCAGTTCATGCATAAATATTTTTTCTATCAGCATCAGACAGGCTCCCAATTATTCCCAAGGCTTTCAGAAGCATACAGTACAATTAACTACCTTCATATCATAAAAATCGATGCAAGCTCAAACATTATTTTGCATAGTTCTGCAAAAGCTACCTTTCCTTTTACCACCTTAAAAACAAAGCAAGCAATGGTCACATTTAAATAAAACTGTTCAATAATTCCATAAAAAATCTGAATAACATGTGATGGCTAAGCAATGCTTGATAATAACGGAAATGGTTCACAAGAAAACTATCACCAATTGTTGCAGAAATAATACACCATCTGTTTTAGCTTGGACTACTTAGAATGTGCAAATAATACTTTGCTTCAGCTCGATGTGGGCAAACATTTACAATATAGTTGGATAAGAAAGTCAATAGCACTCTAAATATGATGGATTTTAACAACAAAGTTTGGTATTCATATCACAGATCTCTCCCATATTAATGACCTTGTTGCTAGGTGAATGGTACTTCTCAGTACCTTAATTACTTTCCATAAATGAAAAACAACCAGAGTCTCTCTCAAAGAATCACCATGACTACAATGAACATAAAAAATTCAAGTGTTCTTTCCACAGTTCTGTGTAGACCAAAGAGTGATATCTAGAGCATTTTTCACAAAATCCTTCAGTACAGTGGTCTTCATTTAACAACCATTCAGTCAGTGACCAAGTGAATAAGTGCTATTTATAACTAGTCCTTGAAGTTCTGGCTATTGCAGCAACCCTACAGTCATAGGATCGTAATCCAGGACACTCAGCAACCTGCTCATATTACTGGCCATTGCAGCATTCTGCAGTTATGTGATTGTCATTTGTGATCTTCCCTGCTAGCTTCCCACAAGCAGTCAATGGGAAAGCCAGAAAGAACTGGAATGCACAATCACATGAGGTCCTTGCCTAATGACCTCTGAAGTCCTCAAACTGCCATTGCTCAGTGGCATGCTTTATGATTTATGACAGCATTGTTTAGTGACAGAAATTCTGATCCCAATTGCTATTCTAACCCAATGACCTTATGTAATATAGAAAGAGCTCATTAAAAACAGCACAATTTATCATATATTCTGAATATACAGCTAGTTATGCCATCACAGTTAGTTGCTTGTACATAATTGTAATATTAAAGCAAGAAATGAATTACAGTGAATCTACGAAAAAAGCCAAAATTTTGCAACCACAATTGAATCAGGCAAGCGTTAGGGTTAAAATTAATCCAGTTTTGTATGTGGATTAAAAGAAACCATATAGTGCATGGCTGCCCAACCCTTTGGCTTGCCTAGGCCAAAATATTAATATTTATTATTAATATTAAAGGTATGTTCTTTATCTCAAAATAGAATAAAAGTATAAATGTGTAAATGTCACAGTCCTTCATAAAATATGACAAAATCCTTACTTTGTAGATATGTAGGTTTCTTGGCAACAATATATCAATGGCTTGCTACAACGTTCTTCTGGTTTGTTTCCCACCACCCAACTGTTGTATCTTTTCTTCAATCCTGATAAGGAGCATCTGTCTATGGTTGCTCCATAATGATAGAATGAGGAGTTATCAAAGGTAATTAGCTGGGAGTAGACCATAAATGACCAAATATTACATTTAAGTAACATGCTTTCGTATTTGGTTTCAGAATATTATCAAAACATTAACAATATTTCTAGCATTCTACATTAAAACAGCAACCCTACACTTCCTGTTAATGGGACAAACAGGCACATTTATTGTTCACATATAAGGTACATCAAATAGAAACACTAAGCAAGAAAAACTGGTCTTGTCTCAATTATACTTAAAATGGGCTTAGATATACAAGCCAAATAAACACAAAGCAAAGAGACCATAAACTAAGTAGCATTGGATATAACGTATTTTGTTATACTTCTTACCACTAGAAACTTATGCATTTGGCAATATGAAAACATATACATTATTTTCCAGTGATCATTTTATTTATTTTGCTTGTTTGCACCTTGAAACTTTATTATTTTTTACAAATAACTCAAGGTGGTAAACTTATCCAAGACACCTTCCTCCTTCTCATCGCAACAACCCCATGAAGGTGGTTTGGGCTGAGAGAGAACAAGGGCTCAAAGTCACCCAGATGGCTTTCATGGCTAAGGAGAGACTTGAACTCACGGTCTCCTACTTTGTAGCCTAATCTTTATTATTATTATTATTATTACCTTTATTGTCAGAGTACAACATGTGTACAACGATATTGGCTGAGCCTCCCTTCGTACACCAATTATTTCATTTTCATAGCAAAAATGCTGAAGCATTGTGTGATTAAGAAATCTGAGAAATCTGTCAAACTGGAGTGCAAGTAGAAGGGGGAGGAGGGGGAGGGAGCCTTTCTACCTCTGTTCTAACCATGCCAGCTAAGCATATGTAACTGGCAAGACGACCCTTTAATCTACCCCAATTAATCCTTAATGTTATGTTGATTCTCTAATCTGAATGTTATGTTCAAATTTTCATTAAATGATATCTAGATTGCACTGGGCTAAGACTAGCCATAGCTCTCCTAAACTCTTCTTGGAAGAATCTGTTACATACCGTGTCTCTCCAACAATATGGCCTCCACCAATAGGAAGGCCCAGCATGATTTCTAGGCATGAGGTGAAATTAAGCCCTGCCCCCCAAATTTAGGCCTATTTAATCCATGTGTTTCCCCGCCATTTTTCACATCATTCGTTAGAACTACATAAGGTGAAGAGAAATGGGGGGAAGGGCGGGGGATGGGGAGAAAACTTGCCTTTAGGAGTGTCCTGCAGGAAGCTTAGGCTAGAATACCCCGATCTACCGATAGAACATCAGCCGAT